CAAGTTATTTTCTAAGCATGGCATAACAATATGACATATGCCACTTACCTATGAGAAAGAACACTGTCATTTATATAGTAATTAGCCACAGAGCTTTCCAAAGTGGAAGAAATGCATTTAGCATTGAGGCATAGTAAGAAACATTTCAAATCTAATAATTTTTGATAATATACATATATTATCCCTGTTGAACATGCATAATTAGAGAACACATTCAGAGCACAAAACAGAGCAAAACACAAAAGACTGCACATGGAAACCAGAAGTTTTCGTTAACAAGATATGGCTGGTGGATGATTAATAACTGTTCACAGAATTTGCTCTGTATTCTGCTCATAAGGCAAAAGAAATGACGGCCTTCAGAAAAGATGGCCCAGTTTAGAGAGAAGCATCTGGTTCTCTGCTTACTTTCTTCTTGTTGCAGAGCTAGTTAAGTGCTGATGCGGAGCCCGGACTATCTCAGATAAGCCAGGGAAAACCAAATGGAAATGAAATTTTGGGTTTTTTTTTGTTTCTTTTGAGATAGGGCCTACGAGGATGACCTTGAATTCCTGACCTTCCTGCTTCTCATACCAAATTGCTGAGATTACGTGTCACCATGGTAAAGGTAATGAAATTTTTAGGCAAAACAGTAAAGCCTAATGGATGAGCAAAAATCCACTTTACTTTTCATATGAATATTCTGAGATGGTTCTACAGCTGCTTTTCTTTTAGTTTTCAAAGTATTTGTATAGGATATGCTTTTCTTTTTTTAATGGATGACAACTAACAGTAACAGATAATTCTATGGGCACAAATAAGCAAAGAATTAGAAATATAAAGGATAGAATTCAGTAATTTAGCTACATACAGGTTTACTATAGGTCCTCCACCAAAGGCCAGAGTCAGAAATGCATTTAAACTATTTACAGCTGTGCTGGTAGACTGAATCTTGGAGAACCCTAAATTAGAAAACAGTCTAATATTAAAGAACATTTACAAAAGGTTTAAAAAACTTTATTTTTTTTTGCCTGTATGAGTGTTTTGCCTGCATGGATGTAAGTGCACCCTTGTGTTGAACTACCGCAGAAGTCAGAAGAGGATGTCTGATCCCCTGGAACTGGAGTTACAGACGGTTGTTAGCCACCATGTGGACACTGGGAACCAATCCCAGGTTTTCTGCAAGAACAGACAGTGCTCTTAATTGCTGAGTCATCTCTACAACACCTAAATAAAGAATTTTAAAAATTTCAGTGGAATGGTATCTTCATGTATACTCTTAAACCTATGTTTACAGGTAGGTAAGAAAAAAGCAGCAGTTCAGTTTTTAAACACTACATATCTTTGTGAAAATGAAACCTTGTGCTAAAAAGCAACTTCCTTGAAATTCACTGTTGTTTTTACCCACTTATAAAAAAACTAGTTCTCAGATTCTGCATACAGACAGCTTTATGTAAAATATATAAACATTTGTTCAAACTGGTACACAGAGTGCATAAATATGGCAATTACTATTGCATTTACAGATGTGCATGTACAATGCTGTGCAAATTATCACAATATTACAATTTCAAAAATTATTCAAACTGTTCTCCAAGTAAAGCAATTAGTGAAAAAATAACCATGCAGAATTTATATATCTTTGAACAAAATCTGAACTGTTTTCATTAAAAGTTCACACATTTAAAATAGTTTTATTTATTTTATTTGTATATGTCAAAATACATTTTTTATTTCCAAAATAGTGGGTTTTGCAACTAGTTTCATGCAGAAACAAGGTCTGCTCAATACTACCAATAAAGTCAATATAGCACAGTAGCTGTTCAATTTTAGATACAAAGAATAAATAACCTAAATACAAAACACTAAAATATTAGAAACATGTATTTATCATTCTTCACAGGCATCCAAACTTCACAAACACAAACCATAACATGCCTAACTGCTGTGCAACCAGAACATGTTGCAGTCACTCTAATCAGTTGTCTGTGTATTTTACCTCCACATTAGACCATGAAATTCTCTATATTCAGACCCACCATTCATACAGCTCAAATATAACCAAAAATAAAATCCTCACACCTATCCTTGTACCTTTAAAATCAAGAATCCTGAGCTTGGTAGTAAGAGCATAACCTTGTATCTTCATAAAACCAATCAAGAGAAAGAGGGCTGAAAATCCTACTTACCAAAACACCCTTCCCCAGCCCCACAGTAATCTAAAATAGGCAGTAGAACACAATGACCTTTTAAAATGCAGGGGTACAAATTCACATTTAATATAGTATACAACACACTCAATACAATCAACTACTATAAGCTTTACAATGTACAATTTATTCAAATGGCTGAACTGTTCAGTGGTTAAGGAGACAGTTATGTGCCAGGAAGATATAATTTTTTTTGCATGGTTTAATGAAAATATAAAAGCTTTTTGTCCAAATAAGAGCCATCTTTATTATGGACGTTCTTTTGCTTTTTATTTCCTTTAAAAAAGGCCACTGAAATGTATAAAATGGTCTGAAACGTGATGGTGGTAATCAAAATTGATGCCTCTTCACATGGCAATAACAGTGCACTTAACATTTACTCACAGATTAAGTCTGCAAATGATTTCATAGCACTACTTTGGCTAGCACAAATTTTAGACAGCACTCAGATAAATATAGGTATGTGAAATGTGAAGCAATTATCTTATGCAACTTTATGGATGAATACTACCAAATGAAAACAAAAGTAAAAGCACTTTACAGTAGAAAAATTTGTAAAGATAGGGCTCCATATAATGTGTAACTTTTAAAGTCTATATCACATTGTTAGCGGTTTTTGTTTATAACATCATTATGGAGTAGCCTACTTTGCATTAACAGACATTTGAAATAAGAAAATAGTCAAACATGCCATGTGGTGGTCTAAAAATCAAAACAGTACAGTTATTTATATATACAGCATCACTCAGTACCTGCTAAAATGAATGTGAAGATTACAGAATCTAACATCTTATACTACAATAGAAAACAAAAAAGTGACCAATGAAGGCAGAAAATAGGACTTACAAGATCAAATCTCAATGGACTTTAAAGCATTCATATAAGAAATGCATATTGCACAAACAGTGAAAGCAAACGTTCTACCGAGCAATTCAGTTCCAGGTGGGAGACAGTAAGTATATCAGCCTAATACGTGACAACAAGCTCAGAAGAACAAGTTTTCTTTTCTGTAAATGAGAAGATTGTGAATACATAGAAGACTCTGCCACATGAAGAGTTAGAAGGAAAAAACACAAACACAAACTTAAGATGTAAAGAAAAAAAAATTAAAATTGAGAAACTAGAAACTGTGGCACATCAAAAACTGTTGAATAACTATCTTTTGTGAAAGCTGAAGTTTTTGTTGACACAAAATATTTATGTACAGCTAAGGCTTACTGGTTAAATATCTGAGGCATATCTGGCCTTGAACACTTTCCTTATTTGCTGGAGCTGTAAACAAGTTTTCTCAGTCATTAAAAAAAAAAAAATTCTCAGCAGCTGCATTAACATGAAACAATGGTCTTGATAACGAAAGTGGGGGAGGGAACCCAGAAAATTAAACAAAACGAAAATCCTAGATAAGAGGGCATTTGGCAGGATATCCGAAAATGACAGTCTCCAAGGATTCTCTCCAGGCTTCCAGTGACTGCCAATTATGGTCCACTGGGATACTAGTATGTGCAATTCCTGCTGTTTTTTTTTTCCTTCTTACTTAGAAAGTTTGCTTATAACTCTGATCAAGGCTCCATTTTCATCCTTTAGCCTCTGGTTGTCTGCTTTTAAGTCTGGTAACATCTACAAAAAAAAAAAGTTCTATTTCAATAGAAAGATAAAACAATATTCTTAACAAATGTTATATATTCACCACAAAACAAATGACCAAAGTTTGTCAATTATATGTATTTCTAATGTCTAAAACATGTATCATGAAGAGAAAAAGCATATGTGAAGCTAATTAGTTTAATAAACGATGGAATGAAAAACTTGTCTCTCAAAGTTATCAACTTGAATTCACCGAACTACTTGATTCTATGACTCACAAGCACATCAGATTAGAGCAGCCATGAAAACAGAGCCTATTTGGTTAGGACAGGATCTTAAAGTGAGTTCCTGTGATAGTCCTGTTAACACTTAAATCAGAGCCTTCTGCTTTGAAGCCACACCTAAAACTGTAATACTAATGGTTTCATTGGAAAGCAAGCCTATTTAGTAAACTTTTGAGGTGGCAAGACTTGTGCTGAATTATTGAAATTCTTTAAAGAACTCATCTTTATGTTTGACTGCCTAGTACAATGTCTGATCCAAGAGAAGCACTCATTAAATGGAAATAACTACTGTAAAAAGAATAGTATAAAACAATTAAATAGTAAATAGGTTATCTAGCAAAAAAGATAAAAATTTGAAAACAAACAGAAAAACTGAAAAAGAGGATGCAAATGTTACAAGTTAAATGAACTTCAAATTAAGGACAGATTGACTAGGAAATGGAATAGCTTTTATTTTGGACATGAAACTGTATTTTCCAAAATATTTAATTATCTTTCTTCAGTTTTCACAATGTACTACTACATTGTCTAATTAGATAAAATTTCAACTTTAAAAACTACTTCATACTATGTCTTTAGAAAGTTTAATTTTATATGGAACTACTTAGTTATTTGTGTTCAGAATGCTTAGATATAAAAATATAGTAACACAAAGTTTACACATTAAGATATCTGTGATAGAGAATCAAATGAATACAAACAATGGTTTTGAATGAAAATGATCATATTTTCAAAAACGATTAATACAGGCTTAATCTTTAGCTTTGACATACAATTGCATCTGTTACACTGTTTATGCTCCATTAAGGACTATAATTATTAGATATACCTGAACTATTTTTAGAGTGAAATAAATGTAAACAAACTTTAAAAAGGGCAGGCAAGTATTTAAATTCCTAAAAATCATTCCTTAATTTTACTGTAGTTTATGAGTTGCAATATATAATTAGTGGTACTTTTTAACATTCTGAAAAGCCATGCATAATTAAATAGTTACATATATGTGATAAGCTCCAGACGCATGGTATTAATTTGTAATTGTGAGCTTTTAAAACAACACACTAACATAAAGGCACCTGCCTGGCTCTATAAATTATAGGTTCACAGACTGCAGTTGCCTATAGAACTCTGAGCGCTTGGCTACCACTCTTGTCAAGGCCCTATTCTCAGTCAGCAGCCTCTCATTTAACGCTCTCAGAGTTTGTATTTGGTTTATTTGGTGCAGGTTCTGCAGGAATCAGAACATAGAGAAATAGGAATACAAAATAAGAAAAGAGTACATACAAACATAAACAGGAAAAGAATATTAAAAAATTTCAGAGTCTTAAAAGAATATCCCACTAGATTTATAAAGGTAAACATCTATACCTAAAATTCCATGTCAAACTAAGCAGCACATAAAATCCAAACAATTCATTTCTGCTTTATGAAACTACTGAAAAATAATGGTCTAATTACAGGGTAACTCAGTAATACATTTAAAACCTAAAATTCTTATTTCATGATCACAATTCTAGTTTATTAACTTTTTTAGACTTTGCAGTTTTATTTTTATTTAATAACCACATGATTAGAAGCATTAATTTTTAAAAAATATTTTATTATTTTAATTTTATGCGTATGAGTGTATTGCCTGCATGCGGTAACTGCACTCATGTTGTGCAATGCCTGCGGAGGACAGAAGAGGCCATTGGAGCCCCTGGAACTGGAGTTACGGACAGTTGTTAGCTGCCATGTGGGTGCTGGATTTGAACCCAGTCTTCTGCAAGAAAAACCAGTGTTCTTAACCGCTGAGCCATCTCTCCAGTCTATAGTTTATTACTTTATTATGTGATAAAGATATTCTATACAATGTGGTAATAGTTAATCTATTTATTAGCTGCACTTGATTTTTCCTCTGCAATGTTCAATATTTAAAACAAAACATTATTACCACAGATAATGCAGTCTAGTAAACTATATCTCTGTCTGTCCCCAAATCTAATGTTACTGTTTTGCTAATACTGGGGATTGAACTTAGGACCTCACACATGTTAGGTAAATCTTCTACAACTGAGTTATATCCCCAGCCTTAATATCTTTGATTTTTAAAGAACATTTTATTCTGTTCCCTCAAAGAAACATTAAGGTACATATAGAAATGTGAGGAACTAATAAATATTACATCTTATAGATACGACTATTTATGTTTTTATACCTGAATATCAGAAGCACTATACAAACAGATTATTAAAATGACTTTGGCTTTATGGTTGAGCCCTCCAGGCTCCAATGAGCAGTTCCAAATCCATGGTCACATAGATGGCCCAGGTTAAACTGAGTGGGTCACAAAATAAAACAAAATGCCTTGAATATGAAATTGAGAGGGAATAGAAAAAGGGTGTGGGGGGAGTTAGAGAGGGAGAGGGAAGGGTGGAGATAATGTAAGTACACTACTCGTGTATAAAATTCTCAAAAAAATAAAAATTTAAATTATAAAACAAACATGAATGTGAGAAAGGGACTTATAGGAAGAGGCAGGCTTGATGGGGGTGGTGAGAGAGGAGAAACTGGGGGTAAGAGTAACCAGAATGTATTATATAGAGGTATGAAATTGTTAAATTTATAAAAATTCTAATAGAAAAAAATGATTTTTTGAGATGGCTCAGGGGGTAAAGGGGTTTGCTCTCAGACCCGATACCCTGAGTTTAATCTCTAGGACCTACATGGTGGAAAGAGAGAACTGACTCCCACAAGACTGCCTTTGACTTCAACATGTACTCACGGCACATGTAACCATATAGATAATAAATAAATAAACATATAACAAATAGAGCAATAAATGCTTTAGGTTTTCTCTTCTAGATCACTAAAATCTGGACTTCAGAAGAAAGAAGCACAAGATACTGATAATTCACAAAGTGGGTTATCAGCTTTGAGAACAATACAAACAACAGCATCTCATTAACAGCATAGCTTACTTACTTTGAGTTCTTCTTCCATTTCAGATATTCTTCTTTCTAGTGCTCTTCGTTCCTAGATCAATTTAAGGAGCATTAATTATTGAATTCTACTCATGTTGTCTTCTATTCATATCATCATGTGAAACAGTGATACTTCAGAATTATAGATAAAATCAGAAGCAGTGTAAAAAATGTGACGCCAGTGATGTGGTGATGTGTAAAGAGCTTTCCAGAACTGAGAAATAAATATGACTTTTTTAAAAATTACTTCACAAGCTCTTTCTTTAAAGCTCTGTCTTTCTAGTAAGATGCTATATAACATGTTAAACCATTTCTTTAGTTAATATTAAACTTAGGAATAGAATACACTAATATTCAAGACTGAGGACTATATAGAAAAGAACACACACACACAGATGCATTATACTACAGTGACAGGAGCAGAAAAGCAAGAAGCAAACGTGCCTAAAACGTGTATTTTACAATTTCCAAAGGATCTCAGAGAATCTCATTTCCTTTACCCACAATATTTACTGTGAATTATCCAACTGACCATACCTTTAACTCTACAAATTTATAGCTATATAAGTTGATGTTGTGTGTAGCATTAATGCAGTGAATCTAGGAGAGCAACTGCAGCATTTATTTTAAACTCATTTCAAAGAGTGACAGGCAAAGCCAACATACAATACATTATTGCAGTGTATTGTTTTACTTCCCCTTATATGATAAGCATTCTAGAGTGTTATGCAAAAAGCAAGCAGTAGTAATTGATGAACTGTAAAACTGGTTAGGTCATACCGCCCAGAAGATACTGACTCCTGCCGGTCACCTTTCAGATACAAACCATTTACATTTAGTTTAACAACACTGAAATTATTTCCAAGACATTCTTTCCCAGATCAATAATTAATGTTAATATTTAGTAATGTAGTACATTTACTATCAATGTCAATGTGTTTAGGGCATGTGCTTTTAAAAAAGGGACAGTGGCCTACTCACAATCTTGTAAATACCATGTTAAGTCCCTAAAATTTACATGCTTAAAAATTAATGCATAGACATGAATATTACTGTCTCTATATAGGCCTTCTTGACAAATTCACATAAAACATTGTATTTCTCAAAACACCAAGATATGTGGCTCCACATGTGACTGTTCCAATTTTGTGTAATATCAGAAGTAGAGTATTTCTTCTGCCTGATAAGTAATATTCCCAGGAACCTCAATTTTAGTAGGTGTCTTCAAGAATTTTTACTTGGTGGTAGGGTAATACTAGGACACTGTTCCCAACTGCCTAATCCTACTGGCTCACCGAAATCGTTAACTGTAAACCAAAAAAATGTGAGTAAACGCTTCGCCTACTGTCTGCCTGATATAGAATGTCAAATAAATGCTAACACCTCTTAAAACTATAATAATGATCAGTGTATAACTAGAGAATAGATAAGTTAATTTGTAATTTATCTTCATTTGATAGAAAAGGTGGCCATGTGAAAAGATCAGAATATAAAAGTGTGAATGACAAGGATAGGAACCAAAATGATCAAATTAGTTATGTTTGATAATGATCTACGATAATGATTTTGTTTCCTTCTTTTGTTACACTTTTTTTGTAATAAAAAGACTACTTTCATAAGAAATAAGTATTCTTCAAAAGGGTGAAACAAATACAAATATTAAGCATATTTTATTATGCTTTTCCATATCAATCATTAGTATAAGAAGTGATCATTTCTATTTATCTTAGAGATAAAATTCAATGTTATATATTATAAAATAATATATAGTAATAAATATTCAATTTAATAAACTAAAGTAAATGATTCTGAACTTATAGCAATTACTGTTACATCAATTAAAAAATAACTACAAACACTAATTTTTAAGAGTTGTTGAAATCACAATAAAAGGGAACCACTGTAAGGGGGAACTCAATAAACACCACAGACATTAACAGATTGTAGTTAATTTTATATTTTGCATCTGGGTGAAAAAATCAAACTGGTAATTTAAAAAACTAGATAGGAATCCTATCTTAAACCTCACCTGCCCATGCCCCAGGGACCATTGTGGAAGAAGCGGTAGAAAGGCTGTAAGAGCCAGGGCTGGTACATGAGCATAGGGAAATAGGCTTTCAGGCCACTGAAAGCTTGCACATGTGAACCTGCAACAATGGTGGCATCGAGCACAAGACCCATGACAACTCAATCAGACAAGGGACCAGAGTGGAGTGAGGGAAATGGGTGGGTTGACCATAGTCTGGGAACTGTTGGAGACTGATTACTACTGGGTAAGGGAGAGTAGACTTTACTTAATGATCTCTAGACAGGCTGATTAGACTCCATTAGATGGAATCTGCACCACAGGACATCTAGGTATAAATGCTTGACTGGATAGGACTTAACATGTATGGTGGAATGCAAGACTTGGTGGTGGTGGTGGTGGTAATGGGGATGGGTGAGGGAGGGGGCCTAAATCTGATTAAGAACTAGTGTATGAAATGCATGAAAGCTCAGTAAGTTTTAAAAAAAATGAAGAAAAATGCTTCCATATCAACTGCTTCTGATTATTTATTCTTGGACCCTGAGATCACAGCTAACAAGATTCACTCATTTCTCTGTCCAAAACCTCACAAGTTTAGCAACTGTTATGGTATTCTAAAGACAATCTATCTATACATCTTTCTTTAACTTTGGGTTCATTTTTATATTGTCAACTTAGACTAAACTTGTAGATTTATTCCTATGGTCATGTTCAAACTCCTAAGTAATAAGAGAAATACAAGTAAATAGCATACTCAATACATTTGCAGAAAAAACAAAATGGTATAATCCTGTAATTGTTTCTTATTTATAATATCCTACCTTTATCTAAAGAAACAAAAGAAAATCTGTTGCTTATACAAAACAATACAAAGGGGAAATGATTACTTATTCAGTAAGATGGACACTTACCCTTTTTTCCATTTCCAACAGTGACCTATCAGCAAATCTTTCTTGTCTCTGCAATAATGTAAGACATTAGACAAATGGATGTTAAGTGCAATAAAGATGGAATGGTGCATAGCAACTCTCCATTAGCAGACAGTAATTAAAAAAAAAAAAATCACATTTTTTCAGGGCTGGAGAGATGGCTCAGTGGTTAAAAGCACTGACTGCTCTTGCAGAGGACCCAGGTTCGATTCCCAGCACCCACATGGTGGCTATGAACCGTCCTGAACTCCAGTTCCAGGGGAATCTGACACCCTCTTCTGACCTCTGTGGCAGTGCACGATACGGGTGCACTTACATACACGCAGGCAATACACCTATACACATACAATAAAAATACATAAAAATAATAAGCCAGGCGTAGTGGCACACGCCTTTAATCCCAGCACTCGAGAGGCTGAGGCAGGCAGATCTCTGTGAGTTCAAGGCCAGCCTGGTCTACATAGTGAGTTCCAGGCCAGCTGGGCTACAGGGAGACCCTGTCTCAAAAAGACCAAACAAAAAAAGAAAGAAAAAAAGAAAAGAAAAATGCAATGCTATGAACAAAAAAATGAAAACAGGATTGTACTGTAATGATAAAGTAACATACTATGTGTTCATCTCAAAGGTGAGAATCTCCTGTGATGGAAAAGCCCTTGGACTTCAAGCTACATACTGCTCCTTGTACATGAGAGCATCTGTACATTGAGCACAGGCTCAGGTAAAAGTAGCTTAGATCTTCTTAAAAAAAATATTTAATTTATTATTTTATGTCTCTGAGTGTACTCCTGCATGTATATAGGTGCATCCGTGTTGTGCAATGCCTGTGGAAGTCAGAAGAGTGCACTGGATCCCCTGGAACTGGAGTTCCTGACAGTTAACTGCCATGTGGGTGCTGAGAACTAAACCCTGATCCTCTTCAAGAATAACAGTGCTCTTAACCGTTGAGCCACCTCTCCAGCTCCCTTAGACCTTATTTATACTACTGTATAATGTCTTCCTTGGAATTAGTAGTCAATTTGCTAAAAATGAACTGATCTATTCTTTAAAAGCCAATTTGCTGAATAACCAGTGTTACTAATTTCCCCCCCCAAAATGTCTGACAACTTTAACAAGAATGGTGTTACATTACTAACTACAGCACAGACTTTTAAAACATATTTCATTAGCAACTAAGCACAATTTTACAATTTAATGTGATAACATTTTTTTGCTGGAAAACAAATCCAAGAACTAAAGAATGCTAAGCAAGTGCTCCATCATTGAATCATACCTCCAATCCCTAATATGGTAATTAAAAAAAATATATAAATTTTTTCTGTTACTATACCTTTCCACATTCATGCTTTAATATCTTCACAATTTATAACCAAGTTAAGTTTTGGTTCTACTTTTAGAATTTCTTTTTAAAAAATACTTTATTTTTATTATTTTATGTGTATGAGCATATTGCCTGCATGGGTATAAGTGCACCCATACCATGCTGGTAATGTAACCTGGGTCCTCTGCAAGAACAGCCAGTGCTCTTAGCTGCAGAGCCGTCTTTCCAGCCCCTAGAATTTATTCTTTATTTGTGGAATATAAAATTTAAAGAGCTATTCATATCTAGAAATCTGTTCTCTTATTTGAAATGGCTTTATGATTTTATGCTTATTTCCTTTGGAATATACCTCATTCACTTCTTGTTAGAAATTCAATTCAGAATTTCAAGTATGAACAGAATTGCTTCAGTTAATTTCTTTCTCATGGTTTTCAATTCAAATACTTTAATTGTTAGAAATAAAAAATGAAGACTGATACATCACTTGAGGATCTATAAATGAATCATAAAGATTTAATTTCTTCTTCTTCTTCTTATTTTTTTTTTGAGATAGGGTCTCATTATGTCACCCTAGCTGGCCTAGAACTCTCTATGTAGACCAGGCTGGCCTTGAACTCATAGAGATCTGCCTACCTCTGCCTTTTGAATGCTAGGATCAAAGGTGTGCAGTACCACACGTGGCCTCAAGACAGAACAAATTTTAAATGATATTTAAAAGTTCATCTGAATTAGAAATAGCGAAAGAAATGACATCACATATAAATTAACAAATTTCAGATTAAAAGATAGCATTTTGTTGTTGCTGATTTTCTTTCAAGTAGGAATATTTTAGTGTTGTGGGTTAAAACATCAATATCGATTTAGCTAATATTTTTATTAAGTCCAGCCTCCCACATCTAATTAAAGATCTTAAAATCTTAACTAGTCAGTCTAGTGAACTTACATTTGGCAAACAGCATCAAATAAGCTGACTTCTTGTAAATGGCATATTTTTTCCTCTTAGAGAATGTACAGGGTGGAGGGTGCTGGGTGAAGACCGAATTTTGTGTTTCTTAGATAAATACTATCAGACAAAAAATTTCAAGATTTACTTATTTATCCTTAACTAGGGATAGAAGCTAAGGCCTCCCATATGTTAAGGGTTAAGGATTAATTTTATTTCCTTAATTTCATTTTATGAGTATGAGTGTTTTGCTTGCATGTATGTAAGTGCACAAAGTATGTGCATACCTCCCGAGGCTTCTTGAAGTGGGCACTGGATCCCCTGAAACTGGAGTTATGGACGGGTGCTAGCTGCCATGCTGGGAACCAAATCTAGGTCCTCTGGAAGATAGCCAGTGCCTTTAACTGCTGAGTCATCTTTCCAGTTCCAAGAGTCTTATCAGACTGATACCTCTCTGGGAAAAATTTCAAGCAGTTATCATGCCACTGCTACATATAGTCATAAATAGTTATGAGAATAATAATTAAGGGAATCAGGTGGAAGAGTTCACAGTAAGATTTAAATGCTAAGGATGACTGCTCTAAAGCTGAACAGGATTAATGTGTATCGGAATGATGAATTATTCTCATTATTAACTTGGTTTCCTCAGAATACTCAAGAGAATGTGCCAACAGAGAAGCTGTTTTACTTTTTAGTCTAATATCAGGAAAAAATGCCTTTCTTTCAAACCTAGGGCTTGAGTAGCCTAAGCACATGCTCTGTCACTCAGCACTATCCTTAATACCTGAAGCAGCTTTCTTCTGTAAATTGTTCAGTGAGCTGTGAATAGGACGATGTCTAGCTAGTAATATCAACAGGCTGCTCCATCCTGGAAAGTAACTATCAATTCTCTTCTCTCAGAGAGTTTGAGTAACCAATTGGAATAATTAGAATTAATCCAACAGGGAAAATTAGATGACAAAGGATTCATAGAAAAGCACAGAAACAGAGAAGTTCAGTAGTGGAGACCCAGATTAGCTGACTCCCCATGTAACAGAGCACTACACTAGGGAAAAGTGGTAGCCTTACTGAGAAATATGACCAAATCCCTACTATGAAGAATATGCTCAGAGTACTTGTTATATGCATGGAGTAAGTTACTTATATAACTTTACCACAAAGCCTGCTAAATCAGTAGTTTTAACTTGTATGACATTCCACCTTACTATGGAATACACTCTTGTTTTGTATTACTTTTCCTTTATCTTCACAACCCCACGCCCATAACTGAAGGACTCTTTAATACTGTACAGCTGGCCTGAGCCCTGGAATTGAACTATCGAACTGTGCATTGACAATTGCTTTCCAATACAGTACTGAATATTCAGTTTTAGACAAGTGTTTTCAAGTTGGCCTCCAAGTTTGTTTTCTTAAGAATCAGGAATCCTTAGAGCCTTTAATATATAAATAGATCTTGTAAAATCTCCAAGATTTAAAATATGTAGCCTTTCCCACTCTTTGATCAGTTTTTTGTTGCTGCTGTTCTGAAACAAGGAGCCTAAGGAGGAGGAGGAATGCCTATTACTATTTCCCAGAAATAGTGTTCCATGGGAAAGTTCTTGGGAAACAATTTCAAGGTCTCACATACAAAATTCTGAGCTTTGGTTGGCTATCTCAAGTTTGTTGTCACCTACAAGCTGTTCCATAGAAAGAAGTTATTTAAAAAATAAAAATAAAAAAAGAAGTTATTAAAGGAGTAAAGATTACCTTCTTCCAGTACTAGTATATCCAATCACTTTTTAAAAGACTTATTATTATTTATGAGTATGTTGTGTGTCTGTGAGTGTAAGCAAGTGTCCTCAGAAATCAGAGGAGGGCTTTGGATACCCTGGAGCTGGAGTCACAAGCAGTTAGCCATTTGGTGTGGTTCTGGGAACCAAGTTCAGAACCTCCACAAGAGCAGGAAGCACTCTTAACTGCTATGCCAACTCTCTAGCTAATATGCAAAAATTTTAACAAAAAATTTGGGTGCTGCTGTAACTCAAAGGTGGAACACTTACCTAGCATGCTCAAGGTCTAGGGTTCAATTTTCAGCATTGTAAAATTACTTTGAAATTTTACTGTAAGACTCTACTTTGGCATTTTTAAATTACTCTAGAAAAAATTAGTAACTCTACTAACTTAATTCATTTTTATTACTAAATAAAACATGAGCAATAACCAAACTTCTGTTCAGGACTAATATTAAAGAAAATTTCAATACAAGTTTGTAGATATACTAAATCATACCACTATCTTGAGAATAACAAAAAGAAAAAGGTACAAACCTGGGTAGCCTTTTCCAACTGCAATTTAAGGTCTGTTAGTTCCATATTTGTATCGTGAAGCTGTGCCTTTAGCTTTTCATTTTCAGCTAGAATTTGTTCATAAAGCTAGAAAAATTAAGAAAGAACAAATTACTTTTTGGATCTACATATGTGTCACTGATTCAAATCTAGAATTCCTTGCTCTTCATCTGTACGAGTTAACTAACAATCTTCCTGTTCTTGGCTGAAGCCTCACTTCTTCAGGAAATATATTCATTGCTCCCATTACTCTTTTTCCTATACATGTTTATAAAAAAGTTTCTCCACTCCATGGTGACTATTTCAATTCTTAAATTACAATTCATTAGTGTGATAATGTGTGTCTATACCACTACAGGAAAATGCCATAAAGGCAGCAGTTTCTGCCTGCACTTGCTCATGAGTAGAATCTCACTGCTTATTACAATTCAGCCATTAGTTCTTTACTCAATGAAGGACTGAACCCTAATCATAATATGTATGAATCCTCCCCTTCCTATTCGTGCTGCTTTAGCACCTAAGTGAGTATGTAATTTGAAGAGTTGCCAGATACCTGGAGAACTGTGTAAGTACATTTTCATTCTTCACGTTGAAAATTATTCCAACTTGGCAAGTTTCTAGAATTTAATTATGCCTATCCTTACTCATACCTAAGGTATTTTACATTTTTCAGTTATTAGGAAAAACTATAGGCTCCTTGAAAAAGCTGTATGTCTCTATTTATCTGCTTCCTATTAACACACAGAGAAGCTGGCTATAGCAAATACATAGTTGTAATCCTAGCACTTGGGAGGCTGAGGCAACAGGATTACAAGTGTAAGGCCAGCCTGGGCTATTATATACCAAGACTCTGTCTAAACAACAAATCAAACAATAAAAAAACAAAAACAAAACAAAACAAAACAAAAAATCAAACAAAAGGAAATAAAATGTATGTGTGCATATATATACATCTCCTACCTACTGGATGGTCATTTTCAGCTCATTACAGCAGTGGCCAGAGACAATAAATGTAAAATAAAGTCCTGGCTACTTTCCTCTTCCCTTTAACATTTGGTTTATTTACATGCTACCTACCGTTACTTGGCAAAAACTAAAAATAAGTTATTTCACGATAATGATTTCATTATGAGTTTTTCAGAATGTTAAAGTAAAAATATCTCAATACAAAAATAACTTTTATTTTAAAAACTAAATAACCCAAGTACCTTTTTGAAGTCAGTTGAGTCGTCCTTTTCTAGCCTGCTACTGTAAGGTTTTCTTTCTTCTAAGTAACTATATGATCCAGAGCGACCCAGCAAGGAATCATACCGATCACTGGATGATGTAGAGCTGCTATCATATCTTCAAAAGATGAGTTTAAAGTCAAAAGTTTTATTACAGGCTTTGGCAATTTCCATTAACACACATTCTAGAATATATTAATGTGATATTCCCAAATGGTAATAGTTTCCCTAATCTCTTACCAATTTTTGTGATACATAAACAGGTTATTCTTAATTTCTGTATCTAAAACTCAGATCTAGTTTCATACTATGCGAAATCATTTTAAGTTTTAAATGACTTCCCTCCCCCATTTTATCATCTCTGATAACATAGTTTATAGCTGATGATTCATTTCACTTGAGGCACCTTTCCCCTTTTACCTTTTCTGATAAATGCTATTGTTTCTACATTTCAACTCAATTAAACTATCGGTATGTAAAATTTATTCTTAGCCTTACAAGGGTTTTGGTCACTAACTGTGGGCAAAAGAAATGGATCAAGATTAAATTAAAGGACAAAGTGATTCTGAGCTAGATGACATGAAAGTATGTTCAGCTCTCTATTTTCTTTTAGTTAAAGCATACATAACTAAAAGAGATGTTGAATATTTAATTCGCTATATTTCTGGCCCAGTGTGGATTTTTATCAGTTTCTTAGGAGAGGTGTCAATGATGAAGTAACTTAGGAAGCATGAGGAGAACCTAAGAAAAAGTATCACTATTTGGGGGAAATCTTCTTTTACAGTAACTTCTTATAATGAACAGTGAACTAAAAGTATAACCCTTAACAAAGAAAGCCATTAACAGTGATTAAGTCATCTAATCAAACAGAAATCCAATTACACTTAAAAAAATTGATTTGTGTGCATGCTTGCATGCCACAGAGCATGTATTTAGATCGGAGGACAACTAACTGCAGCAGCCGATTCCCTCCTTCCACTGTATGGGTCTTAGGCATTGTACTCAGGTGGTCAGGCTTGGCAGTCCAGGTCATATAAATGTTTAGATTTTTATTGTCTACTTAAATCTATAAACCTATAAAATCCCTAAGTATCTAGCAACACATTTTTAGGTAAAAATGAGGGGTAAAAAAAGAAAAAAAATCAATAAAAAAATTAAACATACCTAGAAATGGAATCAGTCTAGAAAGAAAAAAAATAAGATTAAATTTATTTTTTCACTAAATTATTAATTGAAATTGATCAAGAAAATCTAATGTAACAATGTTTTATATTATTGAACCAACTTATCTATTCACCACATACTCTAATTTTAGTATGGTTTTTAGAGAAATAGTAGAATACAGAATTGCTCTATTTTTTTGCATCTACAAAGCCATATAATTTCATCTGGAAACACCTACGATTTTCTGCAAAACCATAATACATTTTTCAAAATAGAAGAAAAAAGAGAGACTAAGAAACCTATACATTACTTATCACTTGGCAGGAGACCGTGATATAATTACATTTAAAAATGTCTAGTTTACTTTGTGATACTTCAAAGCAACCATTTTGTTCATTCTCATTTTTAATGAAATGAAATAAAACAAGAGGCAAATAAATGAATTTACTTTTTATTTTTATTTTTTGGGACAGGGTCTCCCCGTAGCCCTAGCTCACCTGGAACTTACTATAGATTAGGCTGGTCTCTGTATCATAGAACTTTGCCTGCCTCTACTTCCCAAGTGCTGGGATTAATGGCATGTGCTACCATGCCCAACTTCAAGTGAATATCATTTTATGCTATTAAAATAAATAAAATCTCTCCGTATCTATCTAGTCAAGGTTGGCCTGAAACTCAGAGATCTTCCTGTTTCTATATCCCAAGTGTTGGGATTAAAGCTGTAAACCACTAGGTCCAGTGGAAAAAAATATTATTAGAACCAATATAAGTTTTGGGGGATTACCTGAATTTGTTCTTTTTCTATGTTCAATGAATCTACAATTTTCTGTAACATAGCTATTCAGAAATGGTTAAAAACTTGAGTTCAGATATTTGTAATTTCCCATTATATTTTGCATGCTCTAAAATGATTGGGTTCCTTCAGGACTATTTAACATCTTTTTCAGACTTAAAAAGGTTTGCTAAAGTCTGTACAATTTTCGTTCACAAAATTAACTTTAATTAGTGTTTAATTAGTTTTATAGAAATTTAACTTTTAAAAAATATTGCCTGCATGTAGGTAAGTGCACCCGTGTTGTGCAATGCCCAAGGAGGTCAGAAGAGGCTATTGGATCTCCTGGGACTGGAGTTAGGGACAGTTGTTAGCTGCCGTATGGGTGCTGGGATTCAAACATGGGTCTTCTGCAAGAACAACCAGTGTTCTTAACCACTGAGCCATCTCCCCAGCCCCCAATATTTTTAAAGAATAAATTCTGTAACATACATAGACATGAACTAAAACATGTACATGACAAGTGAAAATACCACATTTCTTACTGGTTTTGTTCGTTCATTCAAATTTTACTTTCTTTTATTTTTTAAAAAGAACATTTTATTTATTTTCATTTTATGTGTACGACTGTTTTGCCTATATGTACCTAAGGACACCCATTTCATGAAATGCCCACAGAGGTCAGAAGAGGGCGTCGGATCCCCTGGAACTGTAGTTACAGACAGTTGTTACTGCCATGTGGATACTGGGAATGGAACCTGGGTCCTCTGCAAGAGCAGCCAGTGCTCTTAAGTCCTGATTTGAATTTTAAAAAGAAAAGAACACTCTTAACAGTCAAAAATCACTTAAATTCTGTTTAAAAACCATGGTGTTATCACTGATTTAAAAGAAATTAAATTGTGGCCCCAAAACTCCGTAAAATCTGTTATCTAAATAATTTTTAAATGTAGAGTGATTAGTATTAAATATGTTCACAGTACCATGCAACTCAATACCCAAATACCCACCCTCTTCCTATCTCCTCCTAGTCCTGGGGAACACAATTCTGCTTTCTGTGAGTTTGATGCTTTTAGACACTTAAGTAAGTGCAATCATATAGTACTTGTCTTCTCACACTTTGTTTATTTCATTTAGCATACACTTCTCTAATTAAAAAATATTTTTGCTCTGGGGTTGGAGAGATGACACAGTGGTGGACCCAGGTTGAGTTCCCAGCACCCATATGGTGGCTAACAGTTCATAACTCTAGTTATAGAAGATCCAACATCCTCTTCTGCCTTCCAAGAGCACTGCACACAATGGTGCAGTTATATATATGCAGGCTAAACACTTGCACACATAATTTGTTTTTAAATTCTTAAAAAATCTCAACCAAAATAAAAATATCCTCTTACATTTTTTGGTTACTATAAATGAGTTCATATAAACGTATATAGTATACAAACATCCTCTATACTTCCCCATCTGTTCTTCCAATCCTTAGGCAATCACTGGTACACACAGTATCTTTGCAAGCACACATATTAGGGATCTACACTCATGAACTTTAGTTGTTCTATTTCCTACCAACAGACAGGGTGTTTTCTATTTTTTCTTTTAAAAGCAATGTTGTGATGTATACTCTATAGATTTATCTTTACATACTTCATCTACATCCTTGGGAACACATTTCTAAAAGTGGGATACTAAGGTAAAAAGCCTGAACATTTTCTTAAGTTTTCTGATATGTATTCTTTTGTTTTTTAAATTAAAGTTAAAAAAAAAATTGCCAGACGAGCATGCCTTTAATCCCAGCAGTTCAGAGACAAAGAGAGATTGAGCTCTGTAAGTTTTGAGACCAGCCCTGTCTAGAGTTAGTTCCAGGCCAGCTAGGGCTTCACAGGTGGAACCTGTCTCAACACACAACAAAACAAAAAACCAAACCAAAACACAAAACAAGAACCAAGAACCAAAGCACATATGCCATAGCACACATGTGGCGGTCAGAGGATAACCTTTGGGAGTCAGTTCTCTCCTTCTGCCATGTGGGTTCTTAGGGACTGAACTCTGGAACTATCTTGTCTCAGTGTTAATTTACTCCTTATACTGTTTATTTATCTAAAGAGTATCTTTTGGGCCAAAATAGGTATATTTGGACTTAAAAGCAATGTTCATAATCACATAGCACAGCTCTCTGTTGCTTTATATTACTGACTCTTACTAGCCTAAGGAAATGGAATTGCTCTCTAGTAAGTCTGAAATGAAGAAAACAACATTAACATGATCAAAATGCTTTTCAGGCCACGAAGTACTAATTTATACTATACAGTTCAATTCCTATGTGAACAGAGTTCTGTATAGCCAACAGGAAATAAGGAGAGGTATATAAAAGGAAAAGAACAGTGAAGAAACTACAGTTGTAACCCAACCAAAAATTGTCGTAATCCCTTCATCAGTAATGAGGGGGGAAAATCTCTTCTTCAGAAGATTTTTGAGAAATTCATACCTGATGAATAGAAAAGTTCTTTGGAGTATATATTTCTAAACACAATTTCTAAACACAAGTTAAGGAAGTCAGATGTGTATATTCTCTAGAAAATAACTTTGTCACCTTAAGAAATAAAATCTGAGCCTATTCCTTCTGTATTTCTCTACTTCTGAATATCCTTCAGGTATTTTCCTCTGGTCAGAGGAATGTTGTACTTCTTTTACCCTTCTTTCCTTTTTCAACTCTGAAGGTTAAGTTAAAATAAACAGTAACCACTTCAAGATACACATTAGTGAGTTTTGACAGTTGCTGCACATCAATAAAGCTCCACTACTTCTCTCACCTCTAAAACAATTCCTACACCTCTATTCAGTCCACCCAAAACTGAAGCAAGCAACCATTCAAACCTTATCCCCAGCAGGAACAGTGTGAAGTAACTGTTTTTAATGAACAAATTAACTGGACATAACTAAAATGTAATCTTTAAACTTATGAATATTAAAGTAATACCACTTACCTGAGTTTCTTTTTTATTGGCACCCTCTTCTGTATCTGATTGTTGTTCTTGTTCATTTTCATCACTCTAAAATACATTATCAAATTATGTTATGAAAGCAGAGACAGATTTCAAACAGTTATTTTGGGCTTTTCTAACTTAAAATGATTCTGTGGAAAAATACACCATGATATGGCTCAAAAGAAAAACTTGATTAAAGAAAAAAACAAAACTGGTACAAGGGACTGAAGCTAGGGTCTCATATTTACTAGTCTAGAGTTCTATCACATTCCTAATCCAAGACTTTAAGTGGGATTTTCCTACTGTGTTTAAAGAAGCCTAGAATAACTGATGTAGGATAGTGTACATAGTGAAGAAAACTTATCCACTGTGTAGTTTAGCATGAGAAAACTAGAGTTTTAACACAGGGAGAGAAGATGTTACTGTGTATAGTTCAATAGTCAACAGACCATTTAGTTACTCAATTAAAACAAGGAAAGAAAAACAGAGTGGGATTTTCCTACTGTGTTTAAAGAAGCCTAGAATAACTGATGTAGGATAGTGTACATAGTGAAGAAAACTTATCCACTGTGTAGTTTAGCATGAGAAAACTAGAGTTTTAACACAGGGAGAGAAGATGTTACTGTGTATAGTTCAATAGTCAACAGACCATTTAGTTACTCAATTAAAACAAGGAAAGAAAAACAGAAATATATATATATATATATATATAGAGAAAGAGAGAGAGAGAGAGAGCTGAAAATAACTTTGTTAAAGGGCTTTGTGACAAATATCTTGTCATAATTATGAATTACTAAAGGAGTTTAAGAGGTGGACACTGTGACAGGCATCTTTTGTGGCAGCTACACAGAGCACTGAGGCAGGAGGATGGCTTGAGGCTATTCATATGTAGGAGGGATCCTGGGGACATAGTTCTGTTGGTAGCATACTTGACTAGCATGGAATACTTCTGTCCCCGACTCTTTCCAGACATGGTGGGGAATGCCTGTATCTTAGGAATCAAGTGCTGGAAGCGGGAGGCACATTGCCCTCTGATTCCACATCTGCCAAGGCAGGCATGTGTACAGCCCCCAAATTAATAAATAAAATGTAATTTAAAAACATAGAAATTAAACACAAAAAATTCATCTAGGCACTAAAATGAAAATTATACCCAATCAGCATTTTATTCATGTAAACAGAATTTGTTTGAAGTTTAGAGCATGTGAAATAGAAAAATCAAGGTCATAGAAAAGTGAAAATCTGAAATCTTAGCTTATGGAACATTTTTGAATATTTCAACAAGTATTTAAGACCTACAGGACTAAAAAAGGGAAATTTACATTGAAGAATACCCAGCTCAGGTTCCCTTAGCTCACATGAATATAGTTATATTGAGCTGTTATGATTTAAGACAAATTATTTTAAACATTTTAAGCCTTAATTACTTCACTCAAAAGTGAAGATTTAAATTTTACAGAACTTTTCCAAGGTTTAGAAAAATTTTATAAACGCTATGATTTTGATAAATACCAAAAGTGATACGTCAGGTTAATAAGTTAATAGGAGAAATCAAAGATGCTGTTACTGTATTATTAATTCCATGTCATGATCTGTCTTGAACCCTGTGCTTTCATAGGTGATTATAATTCCATTACTCTGACTCAAGTAAAAAACATGGGTACTACCAAAATGGACCCAAGGAAAGACTGTTATAATGCAAGTAAAGTATATGACTCCAGACCATGGACTCTTGAAGGAAGAACTAGTCTCAATAAAATTGAGGAAAAATAAAAAAAGTTTGGCTTAGAATTCCTAATACATGAGTTGTTAAGAAGATTATAATTTTAAGCAATAAATGTTATTAAATGTTAGGGTGATAAGAATTTTACTGTTATTAAAAATATTACTAGGCAATCAATTAAAAACAGACATTAGGATTTTTCTGATGGAGGAATAAAATATGTTGCCAAAGAATACTGTATCAGAAACCGATCAATTTGCTAAGTCCTGCCTACCAATTTATTAAAATAGAAAAAACAAAGGAATGTGTTAAGTTGTACTTAAGGGATAGGATAGCCTAGTTCTTCCAAAAGTAACTGAAAAAAGAAAAAAAAAAAGATGGAAGGAGAGTGCTACCAATTAAAAGAGACTTTAAGAGAAATAACCAATAATAATGCATGACTATTCAGTTACCAGTCAAACCAGTTAGCTATAAGGATATAACCACAAACCACAGCTGGTATATACGAGACACCAACAACTAAGACCAGGGAAGCAACAGATACTAAGGAGGAATCATTTTACTATTTTTTAACTTCTGTATATGTTTGAGTGTTTCTATATCAAAAATTAAAAAAGAAACAAACTTTAAAAAAGAAACTCATTTTGTTCTTATTTCTCCTTATCATTTATGTATTATTTTCACCTTCCTTTAAAACTTAAAAAATTGTTTTCATTCATATTTATTTTTTGTTTCTGCCTTTATTTCAGAAACTTTAAGTTATGCTTCTTATATGACTATTTCAATGAAAACTGATTTTGGCTTTATGAACCTTAAGTTCTACCTAGATTTTAAATATTTATTATTTTTATTTTGTGTGTATGAGTGTTTTGCCTCAATGTATTGTAAGTGCATCCCTGTCATGCAATACCCAAGGAGGTTAGAAGAGGGCATCAGATCCCCTGGAACTGGAGTTACAGATGGCTGTTAGCCGCTATGCAGGTGCTGGAAATTGAACCTGGGTCCTCTGCAAGAGCATCCATTGCTCTTAACCATTGGGCCATCTCTCCAGCCCCTCTACCTGCATTTTAAGTTCCTCTTTTTGTTAACGGCCACACATATTCTCAATCCCACAAGTGTTATACACATAAGTACTTTATACACATTAGAAAATGTAAAGCTATTTAAACTTTTCAACTTCATTTAACATTATTCGAAAATTTGTTACTATCTTCATATGTATCTTAGCTTTCTATAGGCTTTAAGTGTATATTCCAATATTATTTGCAGTACATGTAATTACAGTATTAATATGATCTTCTATTTTTTTCAATGGAATGGATACAATTTAAATTGAGACCAAAAATTTTTTATAGTGAAGAAAGTAAATGTACTGCTATACATAACAGCATGGATCTATTTGAAAACCAATACAGTTGTATTCAAATGCCCTTCCCAAACAGGTATAATTAACTATGGTGTTAGAAATCAGGATACTGGTCACTGGCTGTCCTTACAGAAGACAAGGGTTTAATTTCCAGCACCCACATGGTGGCTGACAACTGTTCGTAAGTCCAACTCTAAGGGATCAGACGCCCTCTTCTGGCTTCCACAGGCAGCACTGCACAACATGGGTGTACCTACATATATGCAGGCAAGACATTTATACACATAAAATAAAAATAATAAATAAAACATTAAAAAAAAAGAAATCAGGATGTTGACTGCCTTTGTAAATGAAGATGATAAAGTGAGAGTAAGGATATGGGGACTCTGCCTTGTCATTTCATGCTAAATAATTATACATTTATGAATTATGTTTCTGCATAAATGCCATACTTCAATAAAAGGGTTTTTTAGAATATGGATGTAACTCATTGATAGAGCACTTGGCTTGCTTATAATGCATGAAGTTCTGGTTTGACCCTCAGCATTGGAAATAAAAAAGAATGTTTCTTTGATAAAAATGGAAAAATACCAAAAGGCTACATAAAACACAAAGTGTTTATCTTGTACAGATATGGGTCATATTAAACCAGTATAAACTGCACAATAACTGCCACCGCACAATTCTTCCACTTGTACATAAACAGGACTATTAGACATACAATTGGGGATCTAGAAAAAATAAATTTCCTTATTTGAATTGAACCTATGACCTTGTGCATGCTAGGCAAGTACTTTAGGACTGAGCTACATTCCTAGGCTGAAAAAAATTTCCTTTTCATACGACTGTTATAATCTGGTAAGTAAAGCACTGCTTTTACCCACTGTTATGGGAAGCTATAATGTATTTGTGAAAATTAGACTACATGTAAGGCACCTTTCTTTGAAGAAAATCTAAGATAAAATGACTAGTACCCATTCTAAAATAATTTAAGTACTGTGACCAGTAGCCATTCTAATTTTCATTCCAAACCTGAAACAGAACTCCTGCTTTCAAGTAAAACACACACACACCCCCACACCCAACTTGGTAACCACATTTACAAATAACATAAAAAAAAATACCTGTAGTAAACTACAGTGATGACTTAAAAAAAATTATTAGCATGTACACTTGGAAACACTAAGTATATTAATCAAGTATTTTAAAAAGGTTCTCACATCTTGTGTCCAAAAAGAAACTCCTGTAGATCTTCTTTTTTCTCTTGGTCGCCGTCGTTCTCTGATTGACTTAGGCTGTGACTTATCTTCACCTTCTTTCTCCTCTTCTTTTTTTTCTCCCTCTGTTATGGATTACCACATGATCTCAATTTAACTTGACAATGTTTAAAAAGGTATATGTCAAAAAGAGTCTAATTAATTAAAACAATAGCAACAACAAAAAACAATTCTGGACAGATGGCTGCCATGTCAGATAAGCTGGGTTTGATTCCTGAGACCCATATGGTGGCAAGCTGTTTTGTGAGTCTAATTAATTAAAACAATAGCAACAACAAAAAACAATTCTGGACAGATGGCCGACTACATGGTTTAGTGTGTAAAGGTAATTGCTGCCATGTCAGATAAGCTGGGTTTGATTCCTGAGACCCATATGGTGGCAAGCTGTTTTGTGACCTCCACAGACACACCCTGTTATAGATGTGCAAATGCATGTGCACACACAAAACAGATGAATATAAAAAATTAAAAAAAAATTCAGTTAGCCCCTTTCTTCATGAAAGCCTAAATTTCTCCAGTTAGAATTAACTTTTGCTTCTTATAGTACTCCTGTATACTTGATATAAATATGCATCTCAATCTCCCATTAAGACATGTTTTTAATGATCATCTATACAAGTACAGGGCTTTGGGTACTAATGTGTGATAGCAAGGTGGTTACACTCAGATCTAATAATATAAGAAGCAAGCAAGCAAACAGAAACCAAAGGTGGATGGGACAGATAGTAGAAATCATGTATCAGTTGCTGCTTCTACTACTGTGAGACATAACTTACCAGTAATACATGTCACTTCATTTCTGGGTTTTTGTTTTGTTTTAAAGACAGAGTCTCCCTGTAGCCCCAAGTGGTCTGGGAACTTGCTATGTCAACCAGACTGGTCTAGATCTGCCATCTAAGTGCTGGGATTAAAGGTGTGTGCCAACATGCCCAGCTCAGTCACTTCATTTCTATTCTAAGGGGAAATTTTTTCCTTCTGGAAAATTATCTTTTTTTTTTTTTTTTCCTTTCATCTTTTTGAGACAGGGTCTCCCTGTAGCCCCAGCTGTCCTGGAACTCACTACGTAGACCAGGCTGGCCTTGAACTCACAAAGATCCGCCTGCCTCTGCCTCCCAAATGCTGGGATTAAAGGTGTGCGCCACCACACCCTGCTCTTATTTTTTAATTCAAAAGAAATCAACATAAACATGTTAATATTAAGATTTCTGTTTCCTCTTTACAAACACCTTCAGGTTTATATACTCTAAGAAAATTAGAACTTTTGAATATGCTAAAAAGTAGATGTATATACAACACAAATGCCTTTTAAAAGACTACTATGGCATTAACAAAGAAGGATAGCAAAAGGCACCCCAAAGTTATAGCACCAAGAGAGTTGGTTTACAGAATTAGGGTAGTGCAAATATCTGAAACTCCAAAGCCTATATTGGCTATTTAGGTAATATAAATGGGTAAAATGGGCCAGGAAGGCATCCAGAGGGATGGAGTAGGGTGGGTGGGGTTGATACTACTTGGCATCAGCCAACCGTTAACAGTCAAGAATTCAGAAAAACTGTATATTTTAATCTTTTTGCAGTGCACATAATAAACAAGTGCTTTACCACTGACCTAGAGCTCTTAAAAATTTTTTTCAAAAAATTTTTTTATTTATATTTTATGTGTATGTTGTGCTTTGCCTGCCTGTAAGTGCACTCGAACACGCAATGCCTGAAGAGGCCAGAAGAGGGTGCTGATCCCTGGAACTGGAGTTACTGGCAGTTGTTAGCTGCCATGTTGGTGCTGGGAACCAAATCTGGGTCCTCTACAAGAGTAGCCAGTGCTCTTAAGCACTGAATATGAACTTTTACGTGACTGTCCCTAAACTTAAATGTTGGCTCAAAACTTTCACAAGCAAATTTGGACTTCACAAACAGCATTTCAAAGAACTAAGTATTACAAATGACCAACAAAAGAAAGTCTAGCTGGAAACTGAGCAAAACATAATTTTCTTAAGTTTATCCTTTATGATTACTCATATTATCATGAGATTTAGTTTTCTAACATCTAAAATGTCTGTAATGAGGAATAATTTTATCTAGTATTCATTTATTACATCAACTCGGAATTTACTATAATATAGTTTATCAAACAGGAAATGATAATTCATAGCAACATTAATGTGCCAACATATAGCTGAAAAAGAAATCTATTTCTCTTTTTTTTTTAAAAGCATTTTACATATTATTATTTGAATTCTAATTTGAGAATATTGTCTGCATGTATGTTAAGTGCACCTGGGTTGTGCAATGCCTGCAAGGTCAGAAGAGGGTGTCAGATCCCCTGGAACTCGAGTTACAGATAGTTCTTAGCTGCTATGTGGGTGCTGGGAACTGAACCCAGGACCTCTGTAAGAGTGGCCAGTGCTCTTAACTGCTGGGCACTCTCTCTAGTTCCAAGAAATCTACTTTTCAAGTATACAAATCTTATTTCAGCAAGGGCATTATATGTGTTAAATGATTTTAATTTAAAACAATTTCACAAAAACACTTAAAGAATATTATATACACTCAGTAGGCAAAGATTAATGCACCTGAAAAGTGCTACAACTAACAAACCACTCTTAGGAACAGTCACCCACCAGTTCTTTTACACCGACTTAATAAGTGGACAAAAGAAAGACTTTCCCAAAGTGTTAGGTTAAAAGAGTATTTATTCAACATATACCCTATCACTGTGTTTTCTACTTTCTCATTTTCAACCTTCTGTTCTTTCTGTTTCTGCTAAGTAAAGCAGTTTAAGACATTCTTTTTTAGCTGCACTATAAATTAGAAAATCAACTCAAAGGATTATTTGAAAGATACAAAGTGTTTTAAAAATCTGGACAACTTACCTCGTTCATTTTCCTTTGTTAATCCTCGGGAATAGGCAGAAGTTATACCTACAAGACTATTTGGCCTGTTTAGCTGACTTGAAGCATAGAGTGAACTGCTTATAGTAGAAAGTGAAGAGGATGTTGTGGTTGAGCTTGATGTTGATACTGGTCTGTAACGTGCATATGTCTGTGAAACATTAAAATTAAAACTCACTTGAAATATTAGGTAAAAACCATATGAAAATTATATAAAAGGAAAAGCAATGTTCTAATCATGCCAAAGCAAGTCAGAATTCCAGCCAAAATCCTTTCTTATATTTCATATATTGTTTGTTGGTACACTCATCTCTTATGTATTTAAGAATTATAGAAAGTACACATGCATCTGCCCCAGCTGTGCTCCTGACACAATACTACCTCATCATATGTTCTGGAGTACTTTTGTTTATATTCATCATCTCTAGATGTTTCCAACTCCTTCTTTTCTTCCTGTTTTTCTTTATCCTGTTTCTCTTTTTCCTCTTTTTCTTTTTCTTCATTTTCTTGTTCTCTGGTTCTGGTAGAGCGACTTCTTCCTATAGTTTTTTCAGCTTCCTGAAGATCAGTCAGTGTCACTCCCTGCACAAAAAAGGGCATAAATTATAAGATATTAAAGCTTTTTCAAAAGAATACTTTTAAATTGATATATCAAAAATAAATGTATTAAAAATTCAACATGAGTGTTTGGAATTTGTGAAATTAATTTGTATGCAGCAAATCATATTCATTTTATGAAGAATGTGTAAGAACAAAGATAGGGTGTGAGCAAGTTCTAATTATGGATAAGAAATTGCTTCTATATTCAAAAACTAACAAAATAATAATAGAGATGCAAATACCTTCTAAATATAAATTTTCAAAGAGTTAAGATGTTTAAAATACTATTTACATAATACTAATCTGTATTATATAATGTAATAATACTATAATGTATTAATTTTCACAAACATTACCTGTTATGGTTTAAAACATTTTTGAATAAGTAATTTTATCAGGTCAAACCATCAAGAACAGGTTTGGTGGAAAAAGTAGCTTAAGACCCAACACACAGTTTGCTTTGAAAGCTAAGCAATAGCAAGGTTCAAACAGCTGAATCTGTACTACGAATCTCCTCAATGGCTGGAAAGACAGAAAGACACCTATCATAACTAGAATGAAAGTAGGAAATAAGATAGTAACTAGCCTAAGAAACAATGTTCTCTTTTCTGCCCATTACCTGTTATACCAAAGTCTAGGCCTATTCTCCACTCCTTTACCCCTAAAAAATCATAGGATTCTGATAATTATAAGGCATCATATGACTAATTTTAACATCACTGCTCTGTGCCTGACACCAAATTAGGAATGGAGGATTAAAAAAAATAGCAATTTATTAATAATGCATGTCTTATATATTATCTGTATTACATATACCTGTGTTGACCTTCTAGACTGCCTTGCTTGTCTAGATCTTGCTTTTCTTTGAGATTCAGATTCTTCATCCCTAACAGGAGTGAGGTATGATCTACAATAATAAATAAAAATTGTTAGCTGGAGATGCAATATTTGTGAATATAAATGTATGTCAATGTTTGTGACTAAAACATGCAAATGTACTGTTTATTGAGTATAAAATATAATCTTCAGAAAATGTTTGTATCTACTCTGAAATTTATTAATGCCATACGACCACCTCTTTAGACAGGAACTAATTGTATTTAACATAGCATGCTGATTTCTTCCTTGCTAAAACAAATTATATAACTTAATTAAAACAAAGAATGATGTGATAATTTTAAAATAAGAAAACTTGGAAGGATCCAGAGAATTGAGTAAAATTATTTGCTTTACTGAAAGAGGCAGAGCGTTTTACTTAGCAAAAGGTCAGTTCAAGGAAAGGAGAGAGTGACTCTAACCTCTGCTAAGAACAACTCATTCAGTGTTAACTTCTCCAGTAGCCTACACTTCAAGCAAAACCCACTTATTAGTACCATCCCTTTAATGAACCAAGTTTTATTATTTATTTTATGAAAGACGATGGCCTTAATCTTGTCTTTACCTACAGTATTTTTAAGCACAAAATTCTTTCTAAATCTGATTCTAAAATCCTTAAATCACTCTTCCTTGCCTCTTTCTAAATCTGATTCTAAAATCCTTAAATCACTCTTCCTTGCCTTCTTGTTTTGAGTTTCCTATAATACTATCCTAGATGACATGTGAACTTATGTGACTTAGAGTACTGACTGTCAGTGTAGTAAAGTTTGGACTATGAGATGTGGGGTATGAGTAAGCAGCATTCTCTGCACTTGTGTTATTCTATTGTTGATATTGGGTACATATCATATTCTTGTTCACATTTTGAACAAGAACTCAATAATCTTAAAAGGAGATGAAGACTTGCCTTTAGCAATCAACATTATTTGGGAATTTGAATCATGAACACACGTTATCATCACATTTCTCTGAGAACATTAAAGAATTCTCTATTTTCTATGGCAAGACTAGTTTATTCCACATGTCCCTCTCTCCAAATCCTGGGTCTAAGCAATTTCTTATATTCAAAGGCTACCCTTTAAAGGTTCTTTTATTAGCTTTGTATGCTTGTCAATGTGTTATTCTGCTCTTTAACTTGTTACTAGTCATAAAAGCATAATCAATTTCTGAGATGATTGTTAGTTTTAAACTTTCTCTATTTTTTTTTCTCCAAGTTCTTTAAAACTCTAGGAGTACATCTTCAAACTCCTTAGAATCATCTACAGGTTTCAGAATTCATTTTTAGAGAGCTCCCATTCCTTTCAAGTATACAGGAATTCATCTACTTCTCTTCATAGTTCTGAATTTGAGTTTGTCTAAAACAAGAATCTATGAGTCACTGCTCTTAGCACCTTCTTCCTTAGGTAATTAACTGTCAGATGGCAAATTTATTTAACTAAGAGCCTAGTTGCCTCAATCTCACTAGCTGTTAAACCTGTTGGTTGTAATCACTTTCAGAGGGGCTGGCTGTCTCTGTTGCTTCTACTACAACTAGGAAGGCAAAGTAAGTCAGAAATTCTCAACAGGGCATTTTTCCTTGAATGAGACATTTCGCAAACTTGCAGAAAGGTGAAAATCCTGCAAGAGTACTTAAATGGTCTTTATGGCCTGGTTTGAGGAAATATCACCTATTTCCTGTATCTGGTTGAGTAACCATGGTAGTTACACTGATTTTTTTTTTTTTTTCTCCTCAGGCTTCTGTTCTAGATAAGTTTCACCTTAATCTCTGCTAAAATGCTGATAGCATCTATCTTCCTGCTGTCACAGTAGCACTATATTTACTTTAAGAAGGCACAAGTGTTTCACAGAAAAGCTCTTGCCAAATTCAAAACCCAAAATTATAATTAAAAAAAAATTCTTGTTTAATGCCACTTTAGCTTGTTCTGCTAAAAGTACAGTCAGGGAGAAAAATCAATAAACATTTTGACTATCTATCAACTTTCCTGTGGTTTGAATTTCTCTTAATAATAGCAGAGATTCTATTACATGTGATTTCATCAGTATCATTGAAACGTGAATGAATAAATGAATAATTTGGTAGGTCCCAACATCCCTTTCTTCTTTGATACCACATTAAGTTTGACATGACTCATTCTGTTGTTGTTTTATAATGCTAACTCTATCAACTCTTAAATTTTCAGGTTTTTATTTATATATAACAGAAGCTTCCAATTTCTATAACAATTTAGTTTTCAAAAAGAGGAAGCACAATAATCTTGGGATTAAAGTTAAGAAATATTAATTCCAGGATGTCATAAGAAGTATCTAATTTTATAACATCCTTTAAGGCAATCACAACAAAATGCTAAAGGGGTGAGAATTTGCCAAAGGAAGTAATCTCTTTAAGTATTTCCAAAAATCATGTAGGTAAAGAACTGTATCCTTTCTTTCTCTTTTATATGGCACATCTGCTAAATGTAGAAAAGGGCCCCTCAGCTTGGAAAATATGGTACAAATGGCTATTAATTTCATTCCTCCCTTTATCCATACAGTCATGCATCTAGCATTTATAAATCTATACCTACTGGCTTTTTGTAGATTTCCACCAAATAAAAAGAAAGAATGAAATCTAAAGTGACAGCTAATCTGGTTAAACAAGTAAGTGAAGGAGGACAGACAGATAAATGCATCACTTCAGTCCTCTATGAATTGTTTCTAAGTAAAATATGAACATGGACTATTGAATTTTGACCTCAACTCTGTGTGGTCAAAATCTGTATGCTTTAAAAGAATCTTGAGTGCCTCAGTGGTTAAGAGCGCTGGCTGCTCTCGCAGAAGACCCAGGTTCAATTCCCAGCACCCATAGGTGGCTAAAAATCTATAACCTCAGTTCCAGGAGAACTCAATGCCCTCTTTATGACTTCTGTGGGCATTTCATGACACAGGTACACTTACATACATGCAGGCAATACTCTCATACACAGAAAAAAAAAAAAAAAGAATCGCATTTCCAATTCACTTTCTTTTCTCTCATCCATCTGTGTAGGCACCACATTTGTGTATCTGTGTGTGTGTGTGTGTGTGTGAGTGCACTGTGTGAAGGGTGTATATGAATGTGTCTGTGGGTGCATATGGAGGCCCAAAGCTGACGCCAGGGGTCTTCCTTAATTGTTTTCCACCTTATTTATTAAAGCAGCGTCTCTCAATTCAACCCCGAGGCAGCTTGCCACCAACCAGCATTTACATTGGTTGTGGAGATATGAATTCTAGTCCTCATAGTTGTAAGAGAAGTTCTTCATCTACTGAGCCATGTCTCCAGTCCTACTCCACTCTATTTCTTACGTAAAGGAAAAACAGCAAGACTAAAGTCACCTCACCCTCTTTTTCAGTGAGCCAGGATTCATTTTAAATCTACTCTGCAGTTTCAATTAAAGTTAGTAAGACTATCATAATTCTTTAATATACGTAAGTTAGGGAGATAAGTTACTAGCTGAAAAGTCTGAAATCTGTCCACTTTAATTTTCTGTGAAATATCTTAAAAAAAAACTAGTATATTAATTCATAATATATACCCCATTTCCTATATTTGATAGTCACCATTTGATCATGTTACTTTCTCTTGCCTTGATGTGTTCTTTAATCCTAAAGAGTTGACCATCAAAAAAGCATTTATCAGCCAAACTTCATTGTTGCCTTAATCATTATCATTTCATACTGTCCTGCTGTGTTTTTTGCTTGTAACTACACAAGGCATAGATTTTCATTCATTTTCTTAGATGGCCTAGTATTTTGTGAAAATTTCAATGCTTCTTGTTTTAAAAAAATTTAGACTACATGTAAGTGTGCCATGTGTATAATGCCTGTGGAGGGCAGAAGAGGGTGTCAGATCTCCTGGAAGTGGAGTTACCAATGGTTGTTACCCACAACGTGGGTCCTGGGAACCAAACTTGGGTCTTCTGCAAGAGCAGCCAATGCTCTTCACTGCTAAGTCATCTCTCCAGTCCCCAGTTTTTCTTTTTCAATTAAGCATATTTTCCCCAATTTAGTTCAATTTATAATTTGTTATTTTACTGATATTTATTGGTCAAAATAATGCCTTTATTTAAAATGGTCATATTTTAGTTGGTAAATCAAATTACATATTTTTAAAAAACCAAGTAACAGTCATCGTTATTTCACACTTAGCTTTTTTTTCCCTTCCAGAGTAAATACATTTTTGTTTTAGAAAGAGTTTTAGTATGTAGTCCAGAGTGGTTACGAAACCACTGTGCAACCCTGGCTGGCCCTAAACTTGTGACCCTCCTGTCTCAGTTGTCCAAGTGCTGTGATTGCTGGAATAAGCTGCTATGTCCAGTCCAGAAGAAATATGAATATTCATATAAATAGTCAAATGGGAGCTGGCTGAGGCAAGGGAAAATGATGGAAGAAAGTAACTATACTAAAGTAGTTCCATGTAAATATGAAATTATTTGAAAGATATTATTTTGCAGTTTAAAATATTATGGAGAATGACAAGCATTTAAACTGAAAGAATTTGCTATCATATTTCATTTGTTTGGTGTTAGCCTTCCTTTACTTTCCAAACAACAACAACAACAACAACAAAAACTCAAGGGCCTGGGAAGATGGCTTGTGGGTAAGGCAGCTTGCCGTATAAGCATAAGTACCTGAGTTCAAATCCCCGGCACTCACATAAAAGATGGGCATACTGCATGTGCCTATACCTCCAACATTAGGGGTGGAGAAAGATGGGTCCTGGGAGCCAAAATATACTCCAGGGAAAGACCATGCCTCAAGAGAATAGGGCAGAGAGTAACAGAGGAAGACACCATGTCCTCCTCTGGTCTCTAGATGCATATACATGGGAGTGTGCACACACATCCCACCCCACACACAAATTAAGAAAAAAATACATTAGAATTTTTTAGTAACAAAAAGAGGAAATCCGATATAATCTGATTAAACAGGAAAATTTAATGTAATGTGCTAGGTAGCTTCATGTAAGACTTCAAAGTGCATATTTAAAGTATCTAATGGTATAAATCTATTGACTTATCTTTTTTAGCCACTTTTTTTTTCTTTTTCCTTAGGACTGGTGTTCAAACTCAGGGCCTCACGTATGCTAGGCAAGTAGTCTATGCTGAGCCACGTTCCTAACCCTCATATATTCTTATATCTCATGGAGTATATTATCTTTAAGGCAAATTTATACCTACATATATTTCAGAACCACTGATACAATTTAAAGATCATAAGAGGTTAGCAGTGATTAAAACTCCATGTAGAAAAACCCACCGCAAACTTAAAATGGCTGCAAACATCACTGAAATAAGACAAACTCTAGAAATATAGTACAGAAACAAGGTGAAGAAACTTGTTTTGTTTCTTTGTTATTAGAACATCTGCTTTAGCTCTAACAATTTATGTAAGATTTAATTTTTTAATCTTTACTATCCTTCATTAGAATCTTAATTAATTCTAAAAGTTACAACTCAAATATTTCCTCCCAATGCAATCAATAAACCTGATGTTTAAAATCATTATTTTTGAGCCAAGAGTGTATCTCGGTGCTAGAAGGCTTCCCCTAGAATGCACAAGGCTCTAGGTTCAATCCGTAGCACTGTAAAGGAGGATTTGGGGGGGGGGGGGATTTTGAGGAGATAGTCATTACACTTTAGTTGTCACTGGAAATTTTGTCTAAAAGTATAGAATATCAGAGATCAAATTCCTGAAGTTAAAAAAATTATACATAGCAAAGATCTCTTTTTACAGAAGAAGAAATTCTCACCTAGAAATACTAATCTTTAGGATCAAGACACAAAGAGCTAGGGTGTAACTTAGTGGTAGATGGAAGCCCATGTTTAATTCCTAGCCACTTAAAAAAAAAAGAGTATAGAGAGCTTTTCCTCACTAAAAATCCCTTACCATCCCAGTATCAAAGATTAAACCCAGGGCCTGGCTTGTGAGGCAACAGCTCTATCACTGAATACCACCAGCTTAAAAAAAAAAATCTTAAGATGAAAACTCAAAAAGAGAAACAATTTAACGTTCATCAACTTCCTTAATAATGAGAACAGTAAATCCTGTTTGTGTCATATTGTAGATAATTTCCCCCAAGTATCTTTTGGTCTTCATCATAAAAAAAAATAATAAAAAAGCAAAATAAAACAGCTAAGAAGAAAGTTGCCTGGCTTTGCCTTTAACAATAACTAATTCTTTCAGAGATGGGTTCCTAACCCTAAATACTAGTAACTGCTAGTTATACCAATTTACCTAAGTCTGAGCTGATAAACAATGCATCATTTATTATTATTGGACAGATGGTCATCAACTTCCCGAGATTAGCAAAACAAGCAAGCGAAAAACACAAAGTACCAAAAATTGGGCAAGCATACAAGCAGTACTAGTACTGTCAGGACCTTTACACACCTGCGTCTCTCCCTGACCTCTGATGTAGAGGAAACAGTGCCAGCAGTAGTTGTAGTCAGGGTTGTAGTAGAAGCTGCGTCATTTACAACAGTTGGAGCAACAGGAATGGTCACTGCGGTAGTAGCACTGTCCTTGTCTTTTGCAGTACTATCCTCAGCCCACAAACGATTTGAGGTACTATAGCATCATAAGCGCAACACAAAAAGAGAAAAGGAAAACAGCTAAACAATGAAAGCACTTTCTAGAAGCTGAGAACATGTGACAACAGGGATGGATTTTTTAAAAAACACAAGGTGAGACATCTTGCAATTCTTAATAAAAAAAGCTCAACCAGAGTTGTCAAGAGAAAAAAATTTATATTTTGGAAGTTTAATTAAGGATCTTAAAAATTTTCCCCAGACATGCATAATTGCTGTTTTTAGAACCAATTTTAGTTTAGAAATAATTTTAACATGGTAAATAAAAAAAATCCAGAGCCCCACATTCTTCTACACAAAGATGCATGCACATACGTAAGCACACAGTAGACCTGAACACAAAATGTCTCTGTGACTTACCTGCTCTGTGTGCCTGCTGAGGAAGAACCCGTTGTAATCTTTGTAGTAGTGCTTGTGCTGGAAAGTAGGCTTTTCTGAAGCCCAGTTGCAGAGGTAACTGTTGGTGTTGATGTGGTGCTTGGAACACTAGAACTAATCAAATCATCTTGTCTTCTACCAAAGGAGGAACTAAAGGAAAGAGTCATATCTATATAGGATATGCTGTATGTGTATTCTTTATTCATTGTCTTATACATTACACAAATTTATAAGACTAGGAAACCAACTGTGTTCCTACACATACCACCAGCTCCAGCACCAAGAGTTGCACCTGCAACTTGCTAGAGTATAGCTTTATTTCACCGATTTGAAAGTATATAATTTTATGCCTCCTCTTCCCAACCCCCTCCAAAACAACTAAGATGATCTAATTGAATACTGCACATTTTCAGAGTGTGCTAGACCACCTGAATGGTCATGCCAGGCTGTTTTTAACAAATGATGTGATTTCATTCAAAGAAAGTAAGGCGCTTGATATTTCTGAAGAAACATTTTTAGCGGTGGGTTGGATCCTTAGGAACAACTCCTGTCTACACTGTGCATATTCTATCTCACTCTTCTTTCTCAGTGGCTTTCAGAGACAACTAAATTAAAGGTTCTTCCCTTTCCAATATGACAATGCCAACGTTCTTATTGAAAACACGTTCACAGTTCTGAGTTCTAGTCTGAACAGAAAAGTTTCAGATCACAATGGCTAAATCAATTATAACACCAACGAATTTTCATTCCTTTAGTGACTTATAAGAAGTACCTTTTAAAATGTTACAATTCAAAATACTTTTGATAATATACCAAACAATTCAATATATAATAGAAAGGGTAAGGTAAAGTAAATCATCAACATCTTTCAATATATATTGTACTTTTACATTAAATTTTACATAAAAAACAGAAGATAAAGTAGTTAAATCACATATTTGCTTAACTGATGTTAAATTGAGGGCTTGCTTATTTTTATGAAAACAGAGAAATTACATAAGGTATATTATTACCTTTTATGATAACTGGATCCTTCATTAATGGAGCTATTTTTTTTAAGATCATCTTCCCATTTTCTTCTTGTGTAAGAACTACTTGTCCGCAAACTTGAAGAGTCTCTGTAAAAGGAATATCCTTCAGATTCTGGTAGATAATTTTAAAAACAGGGTTAAGAGAGGTGTATACTAGTAAACAGGAGTAGAAACTACTAAATTCCTTAGAAAAACACTTCGGGATATTTATCCAAAATTGAAAGTACTTCCAATTCTAACACTGTCTAGAATACAATCCTAAATATAAGGAGACAAAATTAAGGTATTTATGGAAGTATTATTTATGATGATAAAATGCTGTGATCCATAGCCTGGGACAGACATATAGACATACTCCTATGGTAAATTACATACTGATGTAAAATAGTGTTTATTAAAAACAGTACAAAGTTGGATACTAAAGCATGAATACAAAAAAGCTCTCAAGGTCTGTGTCAGCTAAGAATCAGGAAGAAACAATAACAAGTGTTTTTTTTCTTCTTTCCCCCTTTCTAAGTATTTGAAATGTTTAGAAACGATGTATTAGTGTGTCTGTCCTCTTTCCCTGAAGCTTTCCCTTTACTTGGACCTAGCCTCATGCTCTTCTCTCCCATCTTACGGTTACACCAATCCTCAACTTCCTCCTCTCTCAGGACCATGGCCTTGGTATTCTCTCTGTCAGGACACTGTATTGTTCTTCCTGAAACCCAGATTTCACATAACTACAATCTTCATGTACTAACAATATGCTAGATGATAAAGATTTTGCAGCCAATGCAAAAACAGATCACAATGAACTCACCTGTTTTCTTTCTCTTCAATGTCAGATGTACTGGCAAGTCGTCTCGGTATTGTAGGTGCAACATAGGCAAGTCTTGTTCCTTTACTATCTTTTTCCTGATAACAAGAAAAATTACATACGAAATTAATATCAGATTACAAACATTGCTAAAACTATCAAGAAAAGGTTTTTAGCAATGTATATTATATGGCCATCACAATTTACTGTATAGTATTTCCATAGTTTAGTTTCTAAATAAATGAACGAGGTACTACATAAACAATAGCCTGCTCAAACTAATTCTCTTTTCATTCTTCTTAGGTTAGAATTAGAATGATTTAACAAAAGGAAGAAAAATTCCATCTTAATGATTTTTTTCTAGGACTTTTATAAGTCTAAATGTAATATCATTAAGTAACAACACATTTTTCTTTTGGAGAAAAAAAGTCTCAAATATAGTTTATTCAGGAGTCCTGATCATTTACATTATTTAAGTTGTTCACAATCGTGACAATCTATACTTAAAATATTAACATATTCAAAATAAGCATTATCTAAATTATCTATTTTAACAATATGACACTGATACACTACTGTTATACTTGAAAAACAGGCAATTAAGTTATAAAGGGTAAAAATATTGGGCTGGAGAGATGGCTCAGCAGTTAAGAACACTGGTTGTTCTTGCAAAAGATCCAGGTTTGAATCCCAGCACCCACATAGCAGCTAACAACGATCTGTAACTCCAGTTCCAGGGGATTTGACAACCTCTTCTGACCTCCGTGGGCATGGCACAACATGGTGCACTTATCTACATGTAGGCAATACACACATACACATAAAATAAAAATGAATTTAAAAAAAGTAAAAATATTAAAGTTAACTGAGAAGTAAACCACATCAAAATATCTGACAGAGGAAACAGAAAGAAAACTGGACAGAAAAAAGCCCACAGCTGAATCATAGAAAATACAGTAGAAAATAGTTGAGTATTGACTAAATTGCAGTTTGCCTATTTGATGCAATATTAATACTGTCTTTCACAATATAATACAAACTCTTCATTCAGACAAAGATATCTAAGCTGGATGTCATGGCCTACACCTTTAATCCCAAAACTTAGAAAGAAGAGGCAGGCATATCTTTGTAAGGTCACAGTGGCCAGCCTGGTCTACATAGTGAGTTTCCAGGTCAGCTGGGACTATAGGGAGACCCTGTCTCGACCGCCCCCAATTCCCCTAAAAGACCAAGCTATCTGTAACAGATGAAAAGCTGAACCAGCAATTGCAGACAATGGATGAATATAGCTTGACTAGGGTTACATTCTAGGAAAATGTTTCTTAATTCCAGAAAACTTATTAAATAATACATTGTATTATGAAAAAGTAAAGGATTTTTTTTTTAAGTGGAGTAAAATACTGCAAATACAATTCATCTTCCCATTACTTACAGGTACATTCTGTATTATGAAACTGACTAAGTCAGGTGAATTAAGCTAATACCTAAGACCTAAGACCCTGCAGAAAAGTCACAAGATTTACAGAGTGGATGTGCCTGGAAAAGTAGTTTTATTGTAACCAATTATGAAAGAGATTACCTTTTCTCTATTATCCAAGGAAGAAGAAAGCCTTGGACTTGAAGCTGAGCGTATAACACCCGCAGTGTCTTTTTCTTTCTGGGCCTCTTTAGCAGCTGTGATTTCAGCAAGTGCACCATAACTGCCCGTCTTTCTAAGTCCAAGCCTCCAAGATGCAGGAGACTCATCTTTTCTTTCTTCTTCTTTGGGAGAAATTTTTGTAGTTGAGGTTGGAAACTGTTTTTATTTTATAAGAATAAAAAACAAGTTATCAAAACCAATTAGTTCTTAATTTGGAAGTAATTAGTTTACAGAAACTATTTAAAATAGTAAGTGATAGTTTCAGAAAAAGCATATTTACAAAGGTTAATGTCTTAAGACAAAACTATAAAAATCTAAAACTGAAGGAGTAAATAGACTGCCTTTCCAGAGGTTAGCTTTATGAAAACACACTACACACTTTATATCACACAGAAGTATTATGATGCAGATACAGGAAAAAAAAAAAGAGCACACCATAAGGACTCAAAACCATGCATCTCTGGAACCAATATTCATACTAAACTTGTTACATTGTAGCCTAATACACAATTTTGCACATAGAAATGCCTCACCATGGATTTTTCGCCCTTACTGGGCACCAGCACAATGCCAGTTTTGCGCAAGCCCTGCCTCCATGATGCAGGATCTACTGACTCCACAGGCATGAGAGGAGCAATGTAATCAAACTAAAGCCAATTAAAATAAGACAGGTCAAGAGAGACAGACTGAAGGCATTATAACAGAAAAGGGAAGTTAAAAGAAAAAAACCCACACCTTTTCCTTTATTCCAACTTTATAATAAATTAAAGCCTGGGCAATGGCCTAATATTTAAAAATCACTAGGAACAAGTTCTAGTTTCAGCAAGAGGTAATTTAAAAGAATCTAATGAAGAAAATCCCCAAACAGCTAAAGGCAAACAGACAATTACAGCATATGAGTGAACAAAGTATTGCATGCGAGTTTTATTTTCAATGATTTACATACTCTAGGTAAAAAATTTAAATTCAACATAATAAAAATATAATAGCTGGTATTTTCTAACTATATTTAGTTCAATAGTATTTCAAATATCACAGCTTTAAATTTGCTATTTAATTTTCCTACCAAACACTAAATTCAACATTTATTTCAACATTTCAATTCAAAACTATTTTGACCTATAAATAATCACTCCACTTTCAGGGTATCCCAACAGTCCTAAAAATGCAGCAACTGTTATCATGAAATAATTCGGTTCATTAACTTCCCTTCCAGAATTGAAATGATTAAAATCTGAGGATATAGCAATTATGTAGCTGCTACAAGCAAGATACTGTTAACTAAAAAAATTCTTTCATACTTGTCAAAATTTGCTAAAATAAGCAGGTTAACAGAGCTTTAGTTACAGTCCCATGATGCTTTAATACCACTTCATTGATACATTATTTTAGGATACCTCTAGAACTTCTAGTAATTAATTTTTCACCAATATGGTCTATGTATGTCTCATTCCCAAAATGTGAACTGAAGTATTTCAGGGTATCTTAACAAAGCAACAGGAACTCTCAAGATACTCAAGGCTGTGTAAAAAATACATTGGCATCTTTTGGGCACTATGCAAGCTGCGACTCACTTATTGTACCTAAATACTTAATAAATAAAACACAGTGGCATCACTTGGGAACTAAACAAGCTGCAATTCACTTATTTGCACCTAAGTACTTAGTAAAATAAATGAAACAAACAGTCTCTATCCTCTCTTTCCTTCCCCTTCTGTTTTTTTTTTTTTTTTTTTTTGAGATCGGGTCTTACTATGTAGCCCAGGCTGATTTTGAACGGGCAATCCTTCTAAGTCTCTCTAGTGTCAGGATTATAGGAGTGTGCCATCATGGTTGGCTACAAACAGCTATTTATATTGGCCAGTAGCACAGTGAATGGATACACAGTTCAAAAGTTGGAGACTTCTGTGATTATTTTATTCAGTATGCTAGATACTGGACAAATGCTTACTGATTTCTGAGTTTAAGTGCTAGACTATAGTTCGGGCTTACACAGATCATAAGTAAATGAATGTGGCTATGCTCCAGTGAAAGGTTATTTAGCAGTAATAGAATCTGAATTTACGTCATTAAATAGTTCATTAGATATTTTTCTCAACTATTTAAAAATGTTAAAACTGTTCTTAGCTTATTGTTAAATAAAAATAGGTAGTGGACCAGGTTTGGCTACCAGCCACAGTTTGCCAACTCCTGCTCCAAATGCACTTGCCTCAAAGTGTTTTTCCTCTACGACAAAGCAAACAAATAAAAGATAACATTTACTTATTTTTTACCACAGAAGCCAACATTTAACAAATGTTTGCTAGTGTCTGACTCCAAGCTAAGTGCTCTATATGGGTTATCTGAAACTCTACAAGCATACAATGAAATACAATCACTGCTATTCTTTTAGATTTGACACAGCTGAAGTAATAACAGTTTTGAAAGGTAACAACTGATAAACCTTCATTTTACCCATTAAAAATTTAGGTTTAGGCCCTAGCCCATATATTTAAAAATACCTTTTAATTTCACTTGGTGCATGAATAAACCTATTGAAATTCTAAACTATAACTCCCTACTTGAAATTTTCTTCCTTTACTCTTATGGCAGGACACAATATCAATACTTTTCTCACTTCACTCTTCTGACCATTCTGTTTCTTGGTCCTTTGTATTTTGTTCTGGTTAACAACTTTCCTTAGATTATACTCCAATATAAGTTCTCTGTCTGCTCTCAGTTTTCCGTATCCTATCTTGGTTTGTTTCTTTCTGCTAAGGGTTGGAAGTATGCTTCTATATTTCAAGTTAAATATTCATTCTATTCAGCTTATTCTTAAATTTGCTACTCTCTAGTCCAGTGCATTGATTAAATTCCTAGTCTTGAATTTTTCGAATTTGTGTGTGTGTGTGTGTGTGTGTGTGTGTGTGTGTGTGTGTTCATGCACACTGTAGCATGTGTGTACGGCGGTCACAGAACAATTTTGGGGACTTAGTTCTCTCTTTTCATCATGTGGGTTTCAGGGACTGAACTCCAGTTGTCAAGCACAATGGCAAGTGCCTTTTCCCACTGAGCCATCTATTGGTCCCTAGTCTCAAATTTTATTTACCTGTAGAATAGATGACTTAAAACTGTATTTGGAACTTGAAGCTTGGAAGTGTGCAATCAAACACTTTCCCTCCCAAACTTTACCAGCTCTCTATTTCTAGTAATGGCACTACTACTATCTCTTTGATGTCCCTTGTTTAAAACATGACAGTCATGTTAGAGTTCTGTCATCTTCTTCTATTCATAAATTAGGTACCATGTATCCAAATGCCCTTCTGTCTTTTAAAAGCCCATGGCCACTTCCTTAGTTTATATTCATATGCACTGTGGGCATCTTTTCCTCAGTCAGTATCTCAGTATCTTCAAATATACCACTCAGTGTTTCTCTTCTCTCTTTTTCAAGCTCTACAAACCTTCTTGGAAGCTGAAGTGCTATCTATCCATTCTTTAAACTCAGTCTCAAATGTGCTAATCACATCACTTCAAGTCAAATGTCACTTTTTTTTCTACTTTTATACTGTCATGCACCAGCACATTTACATTTTATTGGCATACCCACAGCAAACATCAGTCTTTGAAATTATTATTTTGCTTACTTAGGACACTGGATTCAATGAAGCAGACCACTTAATTCTGAGAAAATTCTGAATTTTCTCTATTCTAGTAAACAAAATATAGCTTACACTTCCTTGGACTACATAACCATACAACAGAATAGGCAATCTGTTTTTAAAAATCCCAACAATACTTATTTTGACTAATAAGAATTATATAAGCTTATTGCTTATTAACAATTTAATGCATAAAATCAAACTGATGGTATTATTTTTTTACTTATACTTTTTATAGTGATGAAGATCAAATCCAGGACATCAATACTGGGCAAGAGTCCTACTGCTACGTTACACTGTTGGACCAAACTGACAGTTTCAACATAACATCTCCACAAATTATCAGTCTGACATTATTTATTAAGAAATGTTTTCTCCCTCTTTTAGTTCAAGAGTTAAGAACTTAAGATAAATCTCAAAAAAAAAAAAAAAATCAAGGCAAAATAAGTGGTTATACCTATTTTTAGCTAAAGTTATCCTGTGCTATTAAAAAGAATATTAACATTTACTGCTGCTTGGTGTGCTTCCATTTGTGATGTACTCCTTGGGATGAAGGCACAAATACATATTTATGCTTTGATAGAGGAAGCTGGGAATTGCAAGATAACTTTGTTTAAATATTAAAAGCAGGGCAGTGACTTGGATCCTAAACTAGAACTCTTTTAAAAATAATTAAAAAGCTCTCCTAGCCTGCACTACTATCCTCAGGCCTCTTGGGGTAAGTCTAT